TCTTGATCATGTTTCTATTTACTCTGAAAATGTTATCATCTCCAGGGCCGGATTAATGGCCTCCTAGGAATAGTGATGGATTAGGCAAACATGAAGGATTCTGGGAAAGAATAAAATGCTAAGCAACTGAAGGCTGACTTATTATTGTTTCTTTTTGCAAAAAGGGGAGAAAGGATGATCTAGGAAACGGATTCTGAAACTTAAAATTTTACAGCAGATACTCATGTTACTGAGCTATAAATAGCTTGAAAACAATATGTCAATTACCAGAAGTCAGTATGGGAATGCTACAAATATATACTGTATGCAGTGATTTTAGAAAGCATTTGACATAATATTCTGATTAGAAGGCTGGATCACAGGAATATTAAATGGGTAGAAAGCTATCTTGAAAACTATCTTTGGAAAGGAATGACATTTTCGGTGAATTTTCACAAGGTTTATCTCTGGGCCTCTTACTTTCCAGCATTTTATTTAAGATTGTAAGAAGTCATGGAATGAACCTTATCAAAGTTTGCATGATGTCTATATGGAATTTGGTGGTATTTCCTTGTAATGAGAAGGAAAATTCATCCCTATCTTAAGAAATTAAGGCAATTTAATTATTAGTAAAACAGAATACAATTTAATAGAGATAAATGCAGTTTTTTCAGTTAGGAAACCAAAATCAAATGTACAGATACAGCATGGCTCATGCTTGGATTAACTATTGTGCTTGTGAAAAAGATTTTAGAATTATTGATTACAAACTGAGTGTCAACACTGCAATTTTGTTTTCAGTTGCCACAGTTGGGAGGGGGGATGTGTGCTTTTAAGGTTAGACAAAACAATAAATTGTCCTGTGGGAACCAAGGTCATTGTTGCTTAGGTTTTGGCGTGTTGAGCCAAAGAAAGCCTGCCAAAGTAGTTTATTGGGGAATGTGATTAATGACATATTACTGGGGTGGGAAGTTCAACTTTGTAACCTTTGGGAGAGAACTTCAGTCTTGATTTCACTTTTGATCCTACCGATACTTTATAGCCAATAAATATGTTCTTTAAGGAAACCTCTTGTCTTGGAGTTCTGTATCTATCGGAACCATGACACTGAATCAGAAATATGAGTCATCGCTGACTCATATTCAGGCAAACATTATTTTAAGCTGTATCAATAGCGTGGTTTCCCATTTTATGAGAAGTAATGGCTTCACTTTGTTTTGGATGACAAAACAAATGACAGAACATTGGATTTTCACAACATGGATCCCAGCCAGTCTTTACATGTGTCATCTTGCATGAATGTATTCACACACACACACACACACACACACACACACCACCACCACCACCACCACCATCAAAGTTAGTTGTGTTAGCAGAGTGGCCCTTGCTAGTTGGTGTTTTTTAAAATGTTGCAGATGGTTGAAACAGAGGGACATCTTGCTCAGATGGTGGAGGAAGGTCCTCTGGGTTCCCCCATCTCCTGGTCCTGGACTGGGTTGTTAGTTCTTGCCATTGGGCTTGTGTGCTTTGTAATCCCAGGCCTGGCTTCACTGTGGCTTGGGATACAGCTATAACAAAAAATTGATAAAGCATGAAATAATAAATCAAACATATTAACAAGATACTGTATTGCTGACTAAAAACCTGAACATCGTGCCAGTAAATATGTCCATTACTCATGAAGATGAATCAGTATTAACCCCCCTCCCCAGGGTTATTGTTGAGGGGAGTACATTTATTTGTTCATCAGAGTGTTCAAAAATCCTCCCCATGCATGGGGGACATTTTCAAAATCAAGCAGAATTTGCAAAGCGCATTTCAGTTAAATACATTGAACATTATAGCACAATTGTTTTCTTTCCACAGAATGCTTGAAGCATGACTCCATGGAAAATACCCTGAGCAATGCATCTAAACATACTTTAGATCAGGGGTGTCAAACTCAATTTCATTGAGGGCCGCATCAGCATTGTGGTTGCCCTCAGGGCCAGATGGGTGTGGCCAGGGTGGGTGCGGCCTACTGGGTGGGCGTGGATGGAGTGGGTGTGGCCTACTGGGTGGGCATGGCCAGCTCTACATCGTTCTCGTCAAGGGTGCCTGTGGGGGCCTGGGCAGGAGTGGGACAGATCTGAGGGTCTCTGGCAGAAGGGAGTGGGACCGGGGCAAGTCCCAAGGCATGGTCCATTTTTTCATTCCTCACAAAGGGTGACACCTCCCCAGCAGGGGGCAGGGCCAATGCAGCAGGGGCTGGTTCCTTGCTGTTTCTAGACGGCCTTGTGGAGCTAAGACTGAATGCGTTTCAGCATAGATGGCCACCACAAAATTGTACATTGGCTCCCCGCTGGCCTGGGCCAGGGCCAAGGCAGCGGGGGCCATTCCCTCACTGTTTCCAGGATGGCTTCACGGGCCACATGAAACCACTTCACGGGCCGCATCCGGCCCCCGGCCCTTGTGTTTGACATGTCTGCTTTAGATAGAAGCTTTGCATACAAAATACCAGTATTCAGGCTAGTAAATTGCAAATAAATATTTCAAATCCCAGATTGGCATAATATTTTAGGTGGTTTCAAATAAAGTTTTGCTTGTGTTCTGTTTGCAGGGTGCTTAGCTGTGACTTAGAAATCTATTATTAATTTAATCATTAGAGAATATAAAGCAGAAACATTTCGTACACTACAAAATAAATTTTAACTGAGTAATAAATATTACTGAGGAAAACCTACAGTGCTGCACTGAAATTGTACAGTTTCCGCACAATTCAGTGCTCTTAGTGTACTATCTCAAGTTATTTTCTCCAGTGTAAGCATAACAAAAGACATAATTTTAGCCTAAGTTAAATTCATACACCAATTAAAATTGTTCTCATCAGGGCTTTATGATGTGAAATTTAGTAATCAAACTAGACCGCAATGGTCTTTTTATACCAGCAAATAGGTTTTAATTGGTTTAAGATCTAGGAAACTGGTTTTGAGAATTCGGCAACTTACTGTTTTTATTTAATTTTAAAAGGTTTGTAGTTTTAAAATGAATAAAACATTAGCACATAAATATATAAATATAAAATAGATCATTATTTCAAATCAGAAATTTAATTCATTTATAGATAATTTTATAATTTATTCTTTAATAAATTATATTAATTAGTTAAGCTTGTATCAGATGTATAATAAATCTTATATTTCTACGGAGGATACATTTACATAGCAATAATATCTTGTTCTGTATCAAGCAAGGGGTTTGCTGACTATTGCTTGATACAGGCAGATTAACTTCAAAACAGCGTTTCATGCAAATTACTTTAATTCATCAGGCATTCTCTAAACATTAACTTACAGTTACTGTAGGGATTCTTCTTGTGAGCTTAAATGGACTCCAGAAGATGGTAGATGACAGGAAGGCCTGGAGAAACGTTGTCCATGGGGTCACGATGGGTTGGATACGACTTCGTAACTAACAACACCATTTAGGATTACATCCATAAATATTGGATAAAGGCTAATAAACTGTGGTTTAATCTAAACAATTTTGGGAATGCAATAAAAGGTTGTACTAGAAAATTGGGCATTTAAACTAGAAAAGTTCACCAGGCCAACCTTTTTGAGATTAGATACTAAGCAGGGCTAGGCCTACTTAGTGTTTCAGGGAGTTGAAAAAACATCCTAAGAGTTGAAAAAAAATCCTAAGAGAAAGCACTTTTGCATTACTGTACTATGAAGAAAATCAAATGGACACGTCCATGAAAATTTTAAAGGACTAAGTTTATCGACTGAGGAGTTTTATTAATCTAGCAGCATCATTGGAAGTATAAGTGGCCTCTGATTCTGAATCCTTTTATTTTAGCTGATACACTAAACATATTTATCTGAGCTCTGTTTGGATTATGCAGTATATTACATGGAGCTTCTTTTGAGAATGTCCCCCAAAGAACTCCAGAACATTGCTGAACGTATTACAGACAATCCTCATTTAATGGTAGCAGTTTGGACCAGCATTTCCAGTTGCTATTGTTAAGTGAATTACTGCAGGTTAAGTGAGGACATCAAATGGTTGTCGTTTGTGATCTCTTCCAGGCATCCCCTTCACTTGTTGGAAGCCAGCAAAGAAAGCCACAAATGGAGATCACATGACTATAGGATACTGCAGTCATAATTGCAAACTAATTGTCTGGATTGTGATTATGTGACTACTCGTTCAGAAAAATTATGAATTTGAAAAGTCATTGAACGAGGGGTTGTTAAATGAGGACCACCTGTTTACCTTTATTTTATCATCTTTACTGGCTTCCACTCCATTTTTTTATTTTGATAACAATTTTCCACCAACCTATTAGAAAAATCTTGTCATATTTACAGACGTTCTCTGAATGGTCCTTTCAACAGATGTTTGCGTAGATAGTACACAAGATTATACCAGTTTTAGCTTTCAAATATCCAGGTTATTGCTAGAGGGCAAACAGCTAAAATGCCTGATACCTCTTTACTGCCATCTATTGATCATATGAATTTTTGCAAGGGAAAAGGGAAGAGGTGTTTTCCCACTTATAAAACACTGTTCACAGAGATTTTAATACTTTTCTTATAATTTCTTTGTTGTTGCTGCTGCTATTGTTATTCCAGGGCCCTGAATCTTGAGCACACTGAGTTATACCAATATTGATGCTGTCTATCTTTAAATATTGTTTTATTTGCTTCTGAGATCATGTTGCTTTTTTAATGATCTTTCAAAAACTATATGTAATGTTGTTGCTGCTGCCTAGAGAATGCTGTTTGTAAGTATACTGCTCAAAAAAATAAAGGGAACATTTTACCATGGAACTGAAGGGGTTTGCGTTCCCTTTATTTTTGTGAGCAGTATATATAAATAGACACAGGTATTTTCAGTAATTATTAAGGTGCTCTGTCATGGAACTTAATGTTGACAATGCTTTCCAGTGTTACTGCATAATCTCAGTATTATTTTTATATCTACTGCAAGTTAGAAAAGAAAAATTACTAAAATGTGTTATTTTCTCCATGCAGATAATAATCTTTTCACCATTCGGCATGAAAACTCTAATAAATGCATCCAAGTTAAAAGCCAGCGCCTAATATTAGGAGATTGTAAGGAGACAGATGAAAGCTTATGGACATGGGTCTCTCAACATCGCCTTTTTAATTTGGGATCCCAAAAGTGCCTTGGACTAGAGACTGCCAAGTCTACAAATACCTTAAAAATGTCTGCTTGTGACTCAGATCTCAATCTCTGGTGGCGATGTGTTGGTAATTCCATCCTCTCCGCATCTCAGAACAAACTAACATTAAAGAATGGAATCCTCACTGTAAGCCTAAACTCTTCTGATGCTTGGAGAAGAAGCAATTCCAGCGATACGATTTGTAAATTTCCATATAGTGGTATGTATTTTCTTTCATTTATAGAAAGGAAAGAAGGGTTCCAGCAAGAATGTGGTTAAATGCTGACTTCTAAGGAGTTCAGAAGAAAGGGGGCATCCCCAGTTGAGTGTTGCATCAAATGATGATTAAGTACCAGTAATCATAATTAATACTCTCACGTGATGAACTGGAATTCAGACATTCCTGTCCATGTTCTAACTTAGATTGTTTCCCGATATAGGGAGTGCCAGAATTCTCAGCTATGCTGGGCCTATGCTGGTTTAGAATTTGGGAAGTTGAAATCCATACTTGGGAATATCTAATAAAATGTTAATTTGGAGGATAACTGAATGTATTTTGGAATGCATTTGGGGGAGCACTAAGACTGTTAATAGATCCAGTTTGGTGTACTGATTAAAGTGCTGACCTAGAAATCAGGAGACTGTGAGTTTTAGTTCCGCTTTAGGCATGAAAGCTAGTTGGGTGACTTTGAGCCAGTCACCCTCTCTCAGCTCAACCCACCTCAAGATTGTGGGGAGAATAGGAGGAAGAATATATGGCATATGCCTTGAGTTATATTTAAATAATAAAGGCAGGATAAAAATATCTAATAAATTAAGGAAAAAAGCAGTGCAAATAATTGACGTTCCTTTGGAAAAACATGCATAATTCTCATGATTTTTAAAACGGCTCAGATTATTATTATTATGGTTTTGCAGGATGAAACAGATTATTTCCAGATGAAAATATCATGTAGAAAAATCAGTGAAATATTAGACATTATGCTGGATTATGCTGTAAGAGATTGGGGTTAATCCAAAGTGGAAGTGAAAGTTTCTGAACTTTACTTCTGATTAAACCTATTTTTTCATTTATAAAAATGGGGAATTAACCGTAACAATGAAATCAGCTCGCTCTCTCCCTAATTTGAATACCAATAAAATTATTTTCAAGTTGAAGGAACTCTGGGGAAGTCCTACAAATTCCTTTTTAGCTATCCTTTTTCTATAGTTAGTGCACAGAAAACAAGAAGTTCCACTAGTCTTAGAGTACAAAACCACTCAGTCTTCTGCTCTCTATAGAAAACACTGGGCATGTCTAAACAAATAAATGGAAATTACCTCAAGGCATCTTTTGTATTTCTGTCTTGTTCTGTGGAGCTGTTGGTTGACGAGGCATGTATCATACAGTTGTTTCTAGCCATATTTGTGTTTACATAACTATGAATGAATGCATTTGTTTTTCTCTCTTTCCCTTCTTCCATCCCGCCCTTTAGATCTTTATTATAAAGTTTATTAAATTATAAACTCATGAGCAAGAACTATCTTGTTTTTTAACTTCTGTTTAACAGATCTAAATTTAAATGCTGTTCAAATTAATTATAATTATTACAACAAAGTCACCAGAGATCCCATATTCATAGTTCATAGGCCTTTTCTCCTGACGTAACCTAACCCTCAGCCAGTTCAGGCTATTTTTATCTACAGTGGCTGAAACCCTGTTGGTACAATTAATACAATGTTCTTCCTGATTCCTTTCTAAGCTTTTAGAACCAATCCCAATTTTTTTCTTTTCAGCAGGGCAGTGGAGAAATGTATTTATTTTATTTCTATTTACTAAATTTGTCGCCATACATCTTGCTGCGGTATTGTGGCTTTGTGGATTAGGCTTTTTTTGTTAACAAGACCAAGTTAGTAATCTCTGCTGGGATTATCAGAGGACAGTCTTTAATTTCTCAGGGATTTGGTTCATTACTGTTGGTTCACTTCACATGAGAAGATTGTACAGTCTTTCACTGCTGGTATGAAGAGATGCCTGTTCTCCAACCCAACAAAGGCAGCTTTCATCCGTATAATATGCAGCCCTTAGAGTTAGAATGTTTGCCCTGTGTCTGCTTGATATTCACAACAGTATTAGCAGAAGAATCAGGACAATTAAAATAATAATACTCCACACAAGATAAATACTTCTGAATTGTCATATTTCCTATATTTTGTATTTAATAATTCTGAAGCCAGCAAGAGTAGCCAAAGCCAGCAAGAGTAGCCAAACAAATCTTGAAACAATCACCAGTTTTATTTTGACTGCATCCATTGAAAGTTATTTTGGTAAAAATTATGATATCTCATTAGCCAACCTGATTGTTTCATGTCAACCCTGAAGGCTGAAACCTAAAGGGAACTTAAGATCCTCCAGATTTTACCTGGCTATCTAGCAATAGTTTTAGTTAGCTATCTAGTCCTCCAGATGTTACCTACTATCCAGTGATCAGATTTATATAGTTGTCCAGCTGCCAGTGGAACTCTAGGCAGTGAACAAAAGAAAGAACATAATACACAAATCAATTAAGTTGTAGCTGAATTAGCTTCAGCTGCTGGGAACTGTAGTTCAGCAGCGTCTGAAGAGACGCAGGTTGCTTTCCCCAGTGCTATGATTTTGAAATCCCTTTTTTTTCTTGGCAAGAATTTTTTTCACTTTCTACATGGATAAGAAATGTGGCCACATGTTTTTACTTATTATTATATTGCTTTGAATATTATTTTGAGCAGAGAACGTAAATGAATATATATTTGAAAGTACTGACCATATTGAAAACAAACAAGCATTAGACTGGGACCTCATTGACATTTCTTTTATTTTTTTTGGAATTTCCAGCACAAAATTTTCATTGCAATAACAGGCAGCACTTTAAAGTATAACAGTATATGTTAATTAGCATGAGAACAGTGTTGAAAACTTGGTATGCAAGTAAGTTATGAAAGCTGTGCAGGCAAAAAGTTTGTATCAGCATATTGCTCTGGCATTAAAAATGTGGCTTGCTTTTGCTAGCAATTTTGAAGTGATTTTTTTTTTTTACTTTCCCTTGTGGATAAGGCGTATTCTCCTTGCAAAGTTAATCTACTAGCTTATGCATTGACTGTTATAAAAGTCCTCCTCCAAACTTGAAGCAGGATCCTTTTAAAACCAGCAATTCAAATATCTGCTAGAAATCGACATAATGAGATGTTCAAGCACTTTATCTAAGACTAGAAAACACGCACCCAGGCTTCATGCCCTGGATCAAAGATGGTTATGGTTCACTGAGGTCCTGTTTTCACAGTACAGTCACCACTATATTGCTACCCTGCTTTTGAGGCAACTACTCTAGTACAGAGGTCCCCATCCTTTTGGGCACCAGGGACCGGTTCTGTGGTGAAAGGTTTTTCCACAGACCGGGGAGTGTGTGGTTTTGTGTGCTGCCTGCATCCTCCGGATGGGGCTTTGCTTGTTTGTGCGGACTGGTTGCTGGCATGCCACGGACCGGTACTGGTCCACGGACCGGGGGTTGGGGACCCATGCTCTAGTACTCAGTTGGAAACCTGCTGGTCTCCAGAAGGCCTGCTGTAGCATGTCCCACTACTTTTTTCTGAAGACTCAGTCCTTTTTTGGCTATTTGTATTGTTCCTGAAGTTGTATAGTTCAGATCATCACCTTGTGATTTTGATGCTAGTTTTTTTCCCCCTTTTTATGACTATTGATGACCTCTGGCTCCATTAATAGTTGGCTCTACCTAATGTAACTCTTAAGATTTGTGCATACATGATTCTTCCTGCAATATTAGTAATATTAGTAAAGTAATATTTTAAAAATATGTTTATTTTTACACCACATAGACTCATTTCCAGATTTTTTTAAAATGTTAAATCTGTTTTTGGTTTCTTTTATGCAGAAATGTATACCAGGGATGGGAATGCCTATGGAAAACCTTGTGAGTTTCCTTTCTTAGTTAATAATACATGGTATCATGATTGCATTCACATTGAGAAGTATTCAGGAGGTGAATGGTGTTCCACAACCACTTACTTCAATCAAGACACAAAATGGGGCCTCTGCTTAAAAAGAGGCAAGTAGCTTTCCTAAAATAGCATCCTGAAAAAAATAATGTTGTATTATTAATGCATATTATATATGTTGGTATTTCATGGGAAAAAGGATGAACAGAGCTTCAAATCTAATAATACCTTTATACTGATTAAACAATACTGTTGTATCATATACAATTACAATTATAGAAGTTAAGATATTAAAATTATTTGCCTGAGGTTCCGGTTTGTGTTATTAAAAACATGTTCAAAAAATGCGGTTTCATCTTAAACCTAGAACCTAATTGATACATGCTTCTTCCTTGTGAATTCTTGTTCTCACAATTTTACTAGTTCCTGTTTTTCCCCCGTGTGTTTTACAAACCTGTTGCAGACAGCATAAGGAGAAACGGGGGAAGGGGGTTGGGTGTTGTAAAACTGTACATTTAGATCCCAGTCCATCTCCTTTGTAAGTCTGGATAGCACAGAGAGTGCAAATTGAATGCCAATATTGGAGATGAAGATAATATGTGTATATGTATATTTGCTCTCATGTTGACTAAATTAAGTTGATAAGGCAACATGTTCAAGAGTTCTAGATTATGGGTATGGTACCTGTAGATCTCAGATATGAATGCTTGTCTTCAACAGAGGATGGCTGTCAAAATACATGGGTACAGTTTAACGATTCTGGAAATTGTTACCAATTAAACACACAGGCTGCTCTTTCTTGGAAAGCAGCATATCTCTCATGTAAGAAGCAAGGGAGTGATTTGGTCAGCATCACAAGTGCATCCGAGCTAAATTATATCCAAGGTAAGTACAACTTTATACTGAGTTCTAGAGGAAAGCTGTCAGTGACTAATGAGAAGTAAGCAGATTGATTTCAAGATAGATGCTGCTGACTCAGTTAAAACAAGCTCATGCAGAGACAATTGCGACTTAAAAGCAGATAATAGTGCCAGAAAGGTGGATCCTAATCTGGAACCTAAAAAGAGAGCAAAGAATAAGCTAAAACAGAGGTCCCCAATCTTTTGGGCACCAGGGACTGGTTCTGTGGAGAGAGGTTTTTCCGTAGACCGGAGAGTGCATGGTTTTGTGTGCTGCCTGCATCTCACGGATGGGGCTTTGCTTGTTTGTGCGGACCGGTTGCTGGCATGCCGCAGCCCGGTACTGGTCCACGGACCGAGGGTTGGGGACCCCTGAGCTAAGAGTTCTAAGTCTATATTCACAGGAGCGTGTAGTCAGCTTCTACATTGTGAAAAGCAGTTGGTTGATTTGCAAAAGCTGAATGGCTCATCTCCCGGAAAGTCTTTAAATTGAATGCTTTCATTCAAACACCCCACAATTGCCAGCATGTTCTTCAAAATAAAGCCTTTTTTTCAGCAGGCACCCAAAGGCCAGACAAGGAACAATGGATGGAAACTGATCAAGGATAGATTTAACCTAGAAATAAGGAGAAATTTTCTGATAGTGAGAACAATCAACCAATGGAACAGCTTGCTTTCAGAAGTTGTGGATGCTTCATCACTGGAGGCTTTCAAGAAGAGACTAGCCAGCCACTTGTCAGAAATGGTATAGGGTTTCCTGCTTGAGCAGGGGGTTGAACTTGAAGACCTACAAGGTCCCTTCCAGCTCTGCTGTTATTCTGCCATTTTATTTTTCCCATTATGTGTGTTTCACACAGGGGGATTTAGCCCATTAAATAACCCATATTGGCAATAATAGGGCTGCTCCTTTAAAGTTTAATTATAGCATAAAAGTTGGTAACTCCAAGGACGTTTTCTCACCACAGTTCTTGAGAGGAGAGAGACTGAATAAATAATCTGTACCTCCCATATCAAGTCAGTTTTCTGAAGAACCTTAGAGATAAACTTGATTAACTCTTTCGGTACTCTGCCAGATACTGAACAAGTGGGTATTGTAAAAAGAATTTGGTGATTTGAGGGAATTAGCAACAACACTGCAAAGTTGTTAAACCTCTAACAGCTGACTGGTCATCCCAAGTGACAATGAAAATAATGCTTATTTTGAGAAACTATGCTGATTCATGCCTATTTCAACATGGGGTATGGATGTGGAAGAGAACAACAAAGAGTCCTTGTGGGTGTTTCCACCTTATTCCTCTTCTCGATAAAACATCACACCATACAGAAAGTGTAAGTAATATAAATAAAATAAAGGCTGACAGACAAGCGGAAGTAAAATGCAGCCAAATCTTAATGAGCTGCTAATCGAGGGTGGTCTTGGACTGAGTTACAGGTGGTTTTCACTTAACAACTGGTCACTTAGCTGTTTGAAGTTACAACAGACACCCCTTCTCCAAAAGTTACTTGTGATCCGTTTTGAAGTTGTGGTCACTGCAGCCCCACAGTCCTTCACCCTTATGTATTCAGGACAAAAATGGTCCCAATGCTGACTTGTGGGGCCTTAAAAGCTACTTCACTTGAATAAGTTCAGACACATTTTTAAAGAAATATACTGGGAACTGATAAAGATGTCAGCTCCTGCAGTCAGAACAGAAATAGGTATCTACTCCATATATAGCATATTAATAATTAAAGTTATCACACATTGGCTGAGGATCCATTCAGTGGACCTTGATAGGCTATCCCAAATATGTTTAGCAGAACAGAAGCATGGTTCGGCCCAATTACTGTGTAAGTCGATTTACCAAAATTGTTTCACAGCATGGGTTTTCTACCCAGTATTTATCTCAACTGTCTCCTAGGTAAGGGAAGTTTTTTTAACAGAGAGTCTTAGATATCAGTGCTCAAACTGATAAGGAGTTCTTGGCAGCAAATAGATGTTTAAGTTGGTTGACTAAGAACAAAACTATTTTTCAACTTGAAAAATACTTGTCGGGTGATTTTTACCCAATTCTCAAGAAGCCTGTTCTAGAGAGGATATCCTTATATGGTGCCCCAGCCATCAAAGATATTGGTCATATTTTGTTTGATTGTCAACTCTGCCCCTCTTAGGCTTAGATATTAAATATCTCCACTTGAAAGAAAAACCCATTGGGATCTGAATCGCTGGTTGTCCTACTTCCTCTGGGCTCTAATGTATATAGTGTGAGCAGAATGGTTTATAGACTATGCTAAGTTTATTCTCAAGGCATTTAGAACCTGTTGCATTGAATAGATCGGGGCATCATGTAAAGATGATGTACTCATCTGAATGCTGTTTCTTTCTACTTACAACATATGTGTTTCATTACTGTATTTTCCCCTTTATCTGTTTTACCCTGGAATTATATCCTGTAATTTATTTTTGTTTTTTTATTTTGATATG